CAGGAAGGTTTGGGGGGTTGTTATGGTGCAATGTAATTTGGGTGGTGACTGCTGCCCCCGCGACCCGGTAAAGGATGAGCGGCTGAAGATGGATGGATGGACTTTTATCGAGTTCAACGAAATCCATATGTAGCACCAGGAATGGGTAATTAGGTTTTGGGAACTTTCCTCTTTTTGGTCTCATGTTTCCTTGTGAGTTATGTTTAGCACATGTTAGACATGCTGCACTTTTTCTTTTTTTGAGTAATTATTAAATCCATAGGTGGTGAATACTTTATGGTACAGTATTCACCCCAAAATAGATTAAAAATTGAATTGTAAAATTGATTTACCTTCAGGCGATACATATATTTCATTGACTTGTTGTGTACCTTTGTTTTTTCCATAATGTTTTTTTCCTTTTTCTTTTCAAGAATACAGTTCATGTCTGTGCATGAGGGCTAATACACTCTCTTCTTACCAGGGATGTTATCTAACAAGGACATTACAGGAGAGGAAACTCCATTTGTCCAGTTTTGGAACATGTAACACGATCTGTTTTTTTCTGTTTAGTTTTTTTCGCTTCTTTTGGCCAAATAGTTTTGTGTCGGGGCGAGAGGAGGAGAGTATATCGTCAGTCTGCCAGTTAATGCAGCTGCCAAATCCTTATCATTGTCGGCCTGTTCTTTTCCCACCCTGCCAACTCCACTGCATATGTCACTCCTGCCATTCCTCTTCGAATTCCCCATATTGCCCCTCCCGTTCATGTCTCTTTTTGTGTTTAATGTGTCACCAGAATATTTCCTATAGAATTATTCAGACAAATATTTAGGACTACTGCTAACGCCGCTTTCAGTCCCTCTGTAAGGTGTCTGGAACAACAACCATCTGTACACAATTTTCCTTTTGCCTCGAGAAACAGTTTGACCTGACCCTTACATCTCTCTTCACTTCCTCTTAACTTTCTCTCATTTCCTCTTTACCTTCTCTTCACTTCCTCTTTACCTTCTTTTCACTTCCTCTTTACCTTCTTTTCACTACCTCTTTACCTTCTTTTCACTTCCTCTTTACCTTCTTTTCACTACCTCTTTACCTTCTTTTCACTTCCTCTTTACCTTCTTTTCCTGTTGATGCCCTCATGACATTGTGAATGCCGTAGAGTTGACATACAGTATGCTACAACAGTCAAGTGGTACCCTTACATACATCAATATCTGCAGTAAATGAAACATACCTATTTTACCTGTTGAAAAGCAGAACACTTCTGTCATTGATCTGAAGGATTTACGCAGGCTGAAATCCGAGTGTTTGCCCACTGAGACAGAGAGGATCGTGAAGTGATATTGAAACAGTGACAGGGATTACGTAAGACATTCCTGACACATGCATGTGTGTTCTGTGTAGCTGCATAACATATATCCCATTAAGGCAAATATTCGTAATAAAAAGACAATATTACTATAAAAAAAAAGAAATAAAGTATAGCTAAATTTTGGACCCAAAGATAATTTTGGATGTAGCAAAACTAGCTCAGCAGATAAAACTGTGAACTGTGAAATGTCTGGTTTGATTGGATATTGTCTAATGCATGGTCTATATTCACTGTTTGGTCTTATTATCACCGGTTTGCACATTGTTAATAGTCCTACGTCCACATTGCCATTGACCATAATGTTGTCGGTATTCTTCTTTTGTCAGCAGAAACTGTCAAGACATTTTCTCTGTATTTGTTATGTGGGTTGCAGGCATTGCCCTTGCGGTATGCAGCTGAGGTAGCTATCATGCCCAGTTGTTGCCATGACAGTCCTTTTTGTTTTGCTAATGAAACATGGGTCACTGTACTTGCTGCATGTACTCTCTCTGCTTCTTCTGAAAACTTGACAGTACCAACAGCTATGCAGTCTTTATCTGTTATTATGTCTTGTTAGAATTAGAATTAGAATTTGTTGAGATTTCAGTTTGTGCACCTTTTTATCAAAATCATTGTCCGGCCCATCATTGAAGTGTGTTTAAAACGCAAAGTTACATGCAGTTTATTGACTTCGATAGATAGATAGATAGGTAGGTAGGTAGGTAGGTAGGTAGATGGATGGATGGACGGACGGACGGACAGACAGACAGAAAGATAGGCAGATGGATGGAGGAACGGAACGACAGACAGACAGACAGATAGATAGATAGATAGACAGATAGATAGATAGATAGATAGATAGGTAGATAGACAGATAGATAGATAGAGTTTTGTGTCAGAACTATACCACTGCACACATTTCATTTCCAAGTAATTGGAATATTTAACATTTCCTTAATTTGGATTTTCAGATTTTTCACTATGACCACCCCAGAGCTGAAACAATCCATGAACAGTTCAATGGTCGCATGGAGTGGCAAGGAACCAAGAAAAGTGATATTCAGTCTGGAACCATCTACATTCATAACATGACCTTCAATGACACAGGGACTTACCGCTGCACTTTTCAGCGCACTATCTTCCTGGTGCAGAATGACGTACACCATATTGTGGAAAAGCATGTAGAGCTCAGCGTGGTGAAAGTAGGTAAGGGTCTTGGTTGTTTTGGTTGTTGGTTGTTTCTCATTCATTTCTCATCACAGATCAGCAGACTGAGTGAAATATATATAAATCCTGCCTGTCTTTGAAATTGAAATTGTACGTGAGAAATCAAAAAAAGCGGAGTCATTTTCCTTCACAAACACCTCAGGAACAGAAATGTATTGTGTGTATATTGTAAATACAGTGGAACCTCGGGATACGAGCATAGTCCAGAAGTACAAATTTGAATACTAATGTACATTAATTAATAAATAAATAAATAATAATAATAATAATAAATAATAATAAATAAGTGTTTATTATACACTGGCATCTGTTAACTGTCAATTATAAGTTTCACAGCAAATAAATAATCAAATTTAAAGGCAAAACTCTTGTAACTTTATGCACTTTGGATTCCAATAAGTGATACTCTGTTGTTTGAATTGTCTGTGTTGCAGCCAATCGGGAGATAACGTCCCTGATCTCTGAGCTCATGATGTACGTCTTGATCCTGGTTCTGCAGCTCTGGCTCATTTTGGTTCTGGTCTCCTGCTACAAGAAAATTTCAAATGAGTACGAGGCCCGCGAGGCAAAACTAGCCCCTATGTCTCTGACACCGTAAGTCTTTTGTCAGATTTATTATCTGACAGTAGGAGCCTTCAAAAACCCAAACACTTGGGTATTAGGTTCAATGAAAAAAAACTTCTTTTTTTACAAAAGAAATGGTGTAAGTAAATTTTACACCTTTGTTTGGATCAAATCATTTAAGTTTCAACAAGAACGCTGATGAAAGCATTTTGAATTCAACACTCACTGTCAATCAATCAATCAATCTATATATGCATATACACATATATATAGTATATACATAGCTGTATATGATATGATTGCATTTAGTGCTTTACAATGGGTCAAACAGTTAATTATAAAAAATGATATGATTGCATTTAAGCATATGCATTATCCCACAGTAAGATAAGGGGTAGAATTTACGACTTGCAGTAGTAGTAGTAGTCGATAAGTACATAATTATTATTGTCGTATACAAGTATATAAATAGTTCAAATCAACAACAATGCTATTGCACGTATCTAAGCCTATGATTCCTGGCCCACAGTCTCAATTTAACCAATCCCCTTAACCAATCCCCGACATTCCTATCCCTGTTAGGAAACTGTCTGCATGACTAGAGAGAATCTGGTGAACCTCCTGCTTCCAGATGTCAGTACTGATTTGATTAAATATTTCTTTCGTAAAATGTCTATGTCATCTTCAATTTCAATAACAAAAAAAGGTTAAATACAAAGGCAGGCATTAATGATAACAACTTAAATTTAGAATCGTTCAACTCAAATTGACAATACACAGGACTATCTTTGGGGAAAAAAAGATGGTTGTTAGAAATTTTTTGATACAATTTTTATGATACGTATAGTATATTTAGGCTTAATCTAATTCTCTCATTTTTACCCAAGTAAGTTTCTCTATTTAAAGTTGATGGGATTTTCTATTTTAATTAAGCAAGCAAATCTTCGTGTAGAGGTCTTCACATTTTATAGACACGACTGGTCGTTGTTAACAATACTTAAAGTTGAATAAATACTATTGTTGCATCAAACAATATGTGGTGTTTTAATAATGCACACACCGGTAAAAGAAAGAAAACAATGCAATGCAGGGGCGAGCCTGGTGTTTAACACAGATAACAGGAACAGGGAGCGAACATGGTGCTGAGCGCCAACATCGGTGGGCACTAAACACACCCCTTTACCCACAACCCTCCTGGGTGAGAGACATGCCCCTCAGTGCCCGCTACACTATATTATTTCAACAGTATTAATCAAAACTGTTTCAAACTTAAGAAGAAAAATCCATCCATCCATTTTCATCCGTTACCGGGTCGCGGGGGCAGCAGTCTCTTTTACCGCCACCCTAATCACACTGCACCGTAAAACAACCCCCCCCTGAACCTTCCTGCGGGTGGTGAATCTACTGGAAGGTATCAACTGCCCTAACCGGGATTCGAACTTGCCCAGAAGGTGAACCCTGGAGTTCCATACCAATGACAGAGACATTGCCTCTGGGCCAAAAAAAAAAAAAGAAAAATAATATACATTTCAAGAAATGTCAATGTATTATGCTACATTATCCTCCTGTTCATTTACATATAACAGTCCCAAACGTTCTCTGTAACGTTTTTACAAGCCCCACCCAATAAAATAAAATAGAAAGAGGACACAAAGATTTTTTTTTTTTCAGACTCTAGTTTTTTTCCACACATTTTATCTGTTTTTAATACTGTTTTTACACACCTTACAAGAAATGTTCCCTCTATGTAAGCTCTCTGAGCACACTGAGGACCACTGTGAGCAACATCAGAAGTCCAGTACACACTGTGGCCACACACCGTTATCACACTTGATCAAAATAAACATTAAAACCCACTCACATTTTGCACAATTACACTGTAGCTTGTGATATAGTGTAACTTCCTGTAACTCCTTTGTCTCCAAAAATATAATTACACAGTTTTTTATTAGCATTCATACTACCCATAAATTATCTAGAAGTAACAGTATTTAATTATAAATATCCATAAATGAAAGAGCCTAAGAAATGTCACTATAAAATGCACAAATCTAACTTAGGTTTGACCTTTTTTCACCTCTGTTGATGGCAAACCCGTGTGCTGCTTTGGCTTTGCTGCCGGTTTTTCAAAGCGGACCTTTCTTAATCGAAAAAAGAAAAACAATATCTCCCTGTTTTACCGCTTGTTCTTCTGTTTGCACATACTCTGACGGCCATTCCATCTCAAAAGAACCACAATTCTTTTTCACTTTGACTTGGTGAGGGGACGTGTCGCTGCCCATTCGTTAGCATTTAGCATTTACATCTTTTGATCCCGCCGCACCGTTGTTATGGGCAGGGTACATCTGCAGACACTGTCAATGGTCAATTATTGGCCGCGGTAGTTACGCTACCATCTCGTATCATTGGCTGGACACCTGTCTACTTTTTCTTGGTGAAATGTCCCCTAAGATGCTGTTACAATTGTGTGTATTTGTGTAGTTTTGAATGCCTTGTAATGTATAAGCCCAGTATAACGGAACAGTATAAGAGCAGCATAACGGAGGCGAAAGATTATGGAAGAAGTTTAATATGAGGTAACCTAATCTTGTCTGACCCTGTATTTGTTATGTGGGTTGCAGGCATTGCCCTTGCGGTATGCAGCTGAGGTAGCTATCATGCCCAGTTGTTGCCATGACAGTCCTTTTTGTTTTGCTAATGAAACATGGGTCACTGTACTTGCTGCATGTACTCTCTCTGCTTCTTCTGAAAACTTGACAGTACCAACAGCTATGCAGTCTTTATCTGTTATTATGTCTTGTTAGAATTAGAATTAGAATTTGTTGAGATTTCAGTTTGTGCACCTTTTTATCAAAATCATTGTCCGGCCCATCATTGAAGTGTGTTTAAAACGCAAAGTTACATGCAGTTTATTGACTTCGATAGATAGATAGATAGGTAGGTAGGTAGGTAGGTAGGTAGATGGATGGATGGACGGACGGACGGACAGACAGACAGAAAGATAGGCAGATGGATGGAGGAACGGAACGACAGACAGACAGACAGATAGATAGATAGATAGACAGATAGATAGATAGATAGATAGATAGGTAGATAGACAGATAGATAGATAGAGTTTTGTGTCAGAACTATACCACTGCACACATTTCATTTCCAAGTAATTGGAATATTTAACATTTCCTTAATTTGGATTTTCAGATTTTTCACTATGACCACCCCAGAGCTGAAACAATCCATGAACAGTTCAATGGTCGCATGGAGTGGCAAGGAACCAAGAAAAGTGATATTCAGTCTGGAACCATCTACATTCATAACATGACCTTCAATGACACAGGGACTTACCGCTGCACTTTTCAGCGCACTATCTTCCTGGTGCAGAATGACGTACACCATATTGTGGAAAAGCATGTAGAGCTCAGCGTGGTGAAAGTAGGTAAGGGTCTTGGTTGTTTTGGTTGTTGGTTGTTTCTCATTCATTTCTCATCACAGATCAGCAGACTGAGTGAAATATAAATAAATCCTGCCTGTCTTTGAAATTGAAATTGTACGTGAGAAATCAAAAAAAGCGGAGTCATTTTCCTTCACAAACACCTCAGGAACAGAAATGTATTGTATGTGTTGTATATTGTAAATACAATGGAACCTCGGGATACGAGCATAGTCCGTTCCAGGACCGAGCTTGTAACTCGAGGTGCTCATATCTTGAAAAACATTTTCCCATAAGAAATAACGAAAAAAAAAAAAAAAATTAATCTGTCCCGGCCCTCTAAAGAAACTCCCTAAAATATAAAAAAATATATAGTATGCAATTAAAGTATCTTTGAAGAGCTGGCAAAGATGGTAGCCACTGACTTTCAGCCATTTAAAATTGTGGAAGACAAAGGTTTTAAAAACGTTTGCTATGCTCTCAACCCCTTTTGCACTTCTCCATGTCAGAGGGTACCGACCCAGAAAGTGTCAGATATGTATGAGAGAGAAGCAGTATCACTCAGGAGAATGGTGTCCAAAGTGCCTAACAACTGACTGTTGGACGTTAAGGGCTACAACCTCACTCATGTCTGTAACATGCTACTGCATTGAAGATTGAATTTAATGAGCGGCACACAGCAGACAACGTGGCAAAAAAAAGGGCTCCTCAGTGTTGCAGCAGAGTGGGCGGTTGATAAGAAAGTGGTGTGCTGATAACAGACAAATGCTACAAACATCACAAAGGCCATTCAGATAACAGGATGAACTCACCTCCCCTCCCGTGCCTCGCCTGGCACACACCATACATCTTGTGGTAAGAGACGCCCTCAAAGGTCCACAATCCATCATCAATAAAGTTAAGGAGGCAGTGGAATACTTTCATAGAAGCACAGTGGCAGCACAAAAAACGGAAGGAAACACGGCTCCAAATGAAGATGGACGAACTACGACCCCAACAGGACTGTGTCACAAGATGGAACTCAGCATCGACATATTAACATGTTGCAGAGTTTCCTCACCAACAAGAACCCCATTGTCTCCACCCTGCCTTTATCTCCAAAAGAATGGACTACATTGCAGGAGATATGCGCTCTTGAAGCCATTTGAAGAGGTCACACTGTTGAACTCGGAAAGTGCAGAAAGGTATGTACTGTAGTTCAACTGGTCAGCGGTAGTTTTCTATAGCATGCATGCAAATGAGCTGATACTAAATTATGAATATTTGATACATAAAATATACTGTGTAATAGATCATAATATTTACTATTGTTGCTACAACTTTATAATTGTATCGGTATAATAACATTTATCTTTTTTCTCACTAGCTACCTGACTGCCTCCAAAGTAATACTGCTGGCCTGGGGACTGCAGAGAGCCACGGCTGATTTTCAGAGCAGGGCAACAACACAGGCAGCAAAAGACATGGTTAACTCGCTTTCTTCTGGCACGTCAGCTGGAGTCCGTAGAATCAGGAATCAGTTGTTTGGAGCTATTTCCATGAGGATGGCTAAAATTCATCACAATTTTTCTCTAAATCTAGGATGACATCAGTCTAATATCACAATCTTATAAAAAAATGTTTTTTTTACAAAGTAACTATATGCACCTCAGGAACGTTCACAAGTCAATTGTACAGTTTGTAGTAGTACTAGTGGGCTGTATGCATATTGTAACTGTATTGTTAAAAAAGTTCTTGTGTGGAAATTTTGCACTAAAGGTTTTTCATGGAACTTCATTGTAGCCTGCTTTGTTTTTTATTGTGTATTTGTAAGTGTTTAGGTGTTGCATGAATAACATAAGTCAAAGTCGTTTTACAACACTTGATACATGGGGTATATAGCAGAGGTGTGGACTCGAGTCGCATGACTTGGACTCGAGTCGGACTCGAGTCAGACTCGAGTCATCAATTTGTTGACTTTTAGACTCGACTTGACAAAACGTAAAGAGACTTGCAACTCGACATGGACTTTAACGTCAATGCCTCGTGACTTCACTTGGACTTGAGCCCTTTGACTCGACAAGACTTGATACTTTCTCCAAAACCCAAAGCGATCTGTGTAAATATATTATTATTTTATTTGAAAAGGACTCGAAAGGACTCGAAACAGAAACGGCAGGACTTGGGACTTGACTTGACACTTTTCAGTCTTGACTTGGACTCGACTCGGACTTTGCCTGTCTTGACTTGAGACTTGACTCGGACTTGAGTGCAAAGACTTGAGACTTACTTGTGACTTGCAAAGCAACGACTTCGTCGAATATTCGTGGAATATTTACAATGAATCCACATCAGAATTTAAAATATTGTCCAAACGTGTCAAATGTGTCTATAATCAATATTTCAGCGTAATTCAAATATTGGTGGGAAATTATTCTGACCCAAATCTCAGCCCTTTATTCCTCCCTGTGATTATTTCCAGGATAAAATAAATTAACCTCAGGCTGGCTCCTTAAAAGTGAATACATACTGTATGAGAAAAATGAGCCAGACTTTTGAATAGCTCTTTGAAATGAACGGATCCCAAAGATCCAGCTCCCTCCAAAGAGCCATAAATCCCATCGCCACTAAAAACGACTGCTAAATGCATAAATGTAAACGTTAATATCTAGAGCATCCACTCATCTCTGAAAACGAGATTTTTGTTTTACACTGCCTTCAACCAATCTGTTTTTTTTTTTTTTTGCCAGTCTCTTGTCAAACATTTACAGCATCAGACAATATGCTGCGTTATGTTTTATTTATGTTTTATTTGGAGCTACTTTATGATGGTACAACTAGTTGCTTAAGACTCTTAATGACCAGCCATTTGTAATTAAGGAAGGACTTTATTACTTCTAACTGCTATTAACTATCACAGAGTCTAGAGCCAAATTCTGGGGTTTAGAAACGTTCCAAATGCTGACATAAGTGGGAGAAATGTGGTTGAGATACACAATAAAAAGACACTGGATGACTTTATTATCATTATTATATTATAATATAAAAAAATAATATATTATTATTATATTATATATTATTAATATTATTGTAATAGAAGTACAAATTTGAATACTAATGTACATTTAAGTGTTTATTATACACTGGCATCTGTTTCACAGCAAATAAATAATCAAATTTAAAGGCAAGAATCTTGTAACTTTATGCACTTTGGATTCCAATAAGTGATACTCTGTTGTTTGAATTGTCTGTGTTGCAGCCAATCGGGAGATAACGTCCCTGATCTCTGAGCTCATGATGTACGTCTTGATCCTGGTTCTGCAGCTCTGGCTCATTTTGGTTCTGGTCTCCTGCTACAAGAAAATTTCAAAGGAGTACGAGGCCCGCGAGGCAAAACTAGCCCCTAGGTCTCTGACACCGTAAGTCTTCTGTCAGATTTATTATCTGACAGTAGGAGCCTTCAAAAACCCAAACACTTGGGTATTAGGGTCAATGAAAAAAAAACGAGAAATGGTGTAAGTAAATTTTACACGAATGTTTCTGTTTGTCAGGATCAAATCATTTAAGTTTCAACAAGAACGCTGATGAAAGCATTTTGAATTCAACACTCACTGTCAATCAATCAATCAATCAATCAATTTTTATTTATAGAGTGCATTTCATGCACAAAGCAAATTAGCATTTACATCTTTTGATCCCGCCGCACCGTTGTTATGGGCAGGGTACATCTGCAGACACTGTCAATGGTCAATTATTGGCCGCGGTAGTTACGCTACCATCTCGTATCATTGGCTGGACACCTGTCTACTTTTTCTTGGTGAAATGTCCCCTAAGATGCTGTTACAATTGTGTGTATTTGTGTAGTTTTGAATGCCTTGTAATGTATAAGCCCAGTATAACGGAACAGTATAAGAGCAGCATAACGGAGGCGAAAGATTATGGAAGAAGTTTAATATGAGGTAACCTAATCTTGTCTGACCCTGTGTTATCAACATTCCATTCCAGCTCTAGTAGAAAACAGCTTTGTTCTCCAGCACCAGCTCAGTTAAGATTTGCTTGTTCAATAGCACACTATTTAGGGTTAGATGTAGATACAAAATAAGGAATCTTCATGTTTCTTACTTTTTCTTCTTCTTCTTATTATTATTATTATTATTACTATTTTCATTATTAATAAGCTTGAAGTTGGAAGTTAATTCCTTACCCAAGCAGATTATTCACCTTCCTGCAATGTCCTTTTTTCATTAAATGTGTTGACATGACGTGCATGTCGCATATTTGTATAACGGTGTGGGTGGAGGGCGGGTTTGTGCTTCAGAATCAGTGCAGCTTGGGAAGCACAGACAGGAAGGTTCATTGTCATCCTGCTTGAGACTGGCTATCACTTCAGGTTCAACAACATCAAGGTGGGCTTTCTCTATATCAACAAAAAATAGATAATGACATACCAAAGCTTAGTTTGTAAAGTTGATTTCTACTTTATGATTTATTAAAAACATTTGAGAGAATGTTATATGGAAAATGAATGCTGTTTTGGAGTTCCCATGTCATTCTGTTGGATTAGTTTTACTAAACCACTACAAAAAAGGACTAGAGATTTATTTAGTACCTGAATTGCAGTTCAGGCATAGTCCTTAAAAAATGTGTATCGTAATTTTCTGGACTGTAAGTCACTACTATTTGCACACACTTACGGCTTAAACAATGAAGCAGCTAATACTAATACTTAATACTGCTAGAGATCAATGACTTTTCTGGTATAGGCTACTGTATGTTATGCTAGTAGCGTATGTCTGTCTGTGAATGGCTGTTGCAGAAACTTCCCTGTTTCTGTTTACCTCTGCTTGCGGACAAGCACAAAGTGAAGGGAGTTAGCCCCGGGAGTTAATGTTAGCTGCGGCCCTTTGAGCAGATCACTAAGGGCGACGAAGCAGGAAAGAGCTAATGTGTAACCAGCCACGTTACAGGTACTGTGTTAAGTTGTTTAAGTTGTTAAATTAGAAACACTACTGTTGTATGTACCATTTATTATTTGTGTTTGACGTTAAAGCAATTATGCTGAGTTAGATTGTATTATGATTAGGAATTACCATATGAATAATGACGTCAGTGTCAGATCTGGATCAGGTCCTGCATTTTGAATTCACAGGAACCTACGAGACAAAGACAGTAACCAGGAGAGAGAAGAAACAAACGAACTATTGGAGAAGGAGGACCCAAGGTTATTGTCATGACACTAATATTGTTATCTATATATCCATCTATCTATCTATCTATCTATCTGTCTGTCTGTCGGTCGGTCGGTCGGTCGGTCGGTCGGTCTGTCTGTCTGTCTGTCTGTCTGTCT